CTTAAAAAAAAAAGAGAGAGAGAGAGAGAAGACATTTGCAAGGACTTGTCCAGATAGTCACCAGGAGACTTGAAGGGATGCACACGATAGATGATAGATAGATAGATGCTTTCATACTGAAGGTGATTTTCTTGAATCATTCATATAAACTGGTATGTGACAGTAAGAATTAACAGAGTGATCTACCCTGCCTACAAATGCACACATATACCAGTCTGGTTTCCAGTTCATTTCTTTATATACAACAGTGCCATAACTGAAAATCAGAAGTTAAATAGCCTTGCAGCTTCAAAATATATGTAAAATTAGCACTTAACAATATGTTGTTATCCTGGGGGAGACACTGTAGTACCAATGAATATCTTTTTTCTTTAATTTTACAAAAAAGGGGCTAGTTTGCTGCATCTTTATTTAAACAATACTTCTAGTTTCCACATAGGCCCCAAAAGACATACTTAGAAAATAAAATGGTTACTGGATGTAGCCCAGTTCATCATTTGGAGCTATGCATACCTGTCCAGTAAATAAATAAATAAATGGCTAGTGGAAAGTACAATTTAGTGAAAAAATATGTGCCCATTTTCAAACACTTTGAATGTTTGCATATCTTGGTACATCTCTGATGCTGAAAGTTATCAGAGCTTCATATGATAGTGATATAAAAACAGAATCTGAGCAAACAAGTAACACCAAGGTCTGGTGCTTGTTTTTTTAAAATAATTTTTATTATTTTAATCATAAAAGATAATACAAATTGAAATCAGAAAGAGAGGAAATAATAGAAAGAAGGAAGTGAAAAGTGCAAAGAAAAAAGGAAGAGAGGGGAAAAAGGAAAAAGGCAATATTTAAAGAAGTAACTTCCAATCTTCATCACAAGTACAAACAAACTTAATATTTCTCCACCCTCTAATAGGTAATATATATGAATCACTTCTTCCCATAACCCATCCCTTATCCACTCACAAATCCATGAATCATTAGTGTTTCTGTCCAGATGTCAGTAAAAAGTCTATAAAGGATTCACAGAATTTTATAAAGATATCTTATTTTAACCCCAAACAAATCAACTTTGTATTCCTTCCTTTTGCTTCTAACAACCTTAGTCCTTAATTCATTCAGATGCTGTCCTAGGATTTGATCTCCCTTCAATTTTTCTTGGTTTCTTTTCTTTTTCCTTGCTTTCAAAGGTTTCTTCAAGTTTTTAACAACCCTTATTTGTAAATACAGTAAAAAGTCATTATCCAGGTCATTCTCTTGGCTTATCATTTGTATTTCCATTTTGACTGTCATCTCTGTCTTATAGTCCAGAATTTCTTTGTTTTCCAGTATTTCTGCATCACATAATACTTGTTTATCCCTTTTATCCTGTCGGTCTTCCAAAATATTCTCTTTCACATCTTTCATCTCTTCTTTAAAATCTTTTGCAAATAATACATCCATATAAGCAAACATTGTTGCTGACATTGCAGCTACTAGTTTCTGACCCCATTCTTCAAAAATCTCCTGAAATGCCTCAAATGTCATAGTATTATCTGTTATTTTGTAGGTTCTACAAAAGACAGGCTTTTCTTTTTTTTTCTTCCTTCCTTCTGCCTGAAATCTTTAGTCCCCTTTAGCGTTTCATTTCTAAAATTGCAAAATCTCAAATTTCTATTGCTTATTTCCTAATAGATTAAGCAATTTATATTCCCATGAAAATATTGTTTTAATTATTTCCCAAATCTTTTAGCAAAAGTCCTAATATTTCAAAGTTGGCTGGTCCCTTAATTTGTTTGTAACTTTTTTAGATTAAGTTCTTATTAAGCTTTTTGCTATTTACTTCAGTTTTTTTACATTCTTTAGGCTGTCAGTTAATTTGTCTTTTGTATTGGAACAAAGGTTAACTCAGGTGGTTTTTCAAACTTATTGCTTTGAAGATCTCTTTCAATTTTAAAGTAATTCTATTTCAAAGGTGTTTAGAAAGTGAGGCTTAATGAATCTAGTGTACTTAAAAGGTTCCTCCACAGTTGAAAGCTTGATGGCTTCCCTTGTCTCCTGGTGCTCAAATCCATGGGAAACTGCTGTCCTGCAGTCTCCTTGTATGGAGCTGCTGTCTGGAGCACAAGTGGGCAATCTCTTGTCCTCTCCTTTATTCAGAGAGATTCTGTTAGACTGGGCTCATCGCTGGTCTGTCAGTCCTGGCTGCGGCATCATCAGCACTCCTTCAGAGACATCTAGTCCACCATTTCCTCACTCGGAAGTCCCTCCTGTTTAATTTATTTTATAAACAAAGTAATCTGATATGCAGTGAGCCAGTATGAAAAAAGTAACCAGCACTCCTACTTGGTTCAGTTCAGTTAAAGGGATAAGCAGGACTAATTGTGGGAAACAGGGCTGATTTTGGTCAGTCCAGCCCTATATAAATCTCACAGACTTTGACTCCCCTAAGCACAGTGGAGTTCTCAGTATACAGATTCTAGAGGTACATTATGCACTGCTCAAAAGACATTTGTGAAAATCTCCATTAAAAAATCATTTAGGCCCATAAGCCTGGAAGAGATTACAAATTTGGCACAGTAACTTTTAATGGCACACTGTATGCTCAGTGGGTTGGGTGAAATAATGGGGAAATCATGCCACTGACTTCTGGCAATTTAGATTAAAAAAAGAGTTGTAGGATCCACAAAGATAGTGTTTAACAGTGCATATTTTCCTATGATTTATTCAGGTGTAGAGGGATATCCCACATCATATACAGTTCATCTAAGAAACTCAAGTAGGTAACATTTCAATTGGGAGCTACATTTTTTAATTATAATTTTGGTCACCAAGGGTAGCATAGGTATGTCAGGTAATATCACTAGATAGAGATGGCTGGATTTTTGCTGTTGTAATTTTGAGAGGAAGTTAAAAGAAAAAATCACAAGCTGAAAAATTAACCATTTTGCCTTTGGATTTTGGCAGTACTATCTACAGGTTCTAAAGGAAGATAAAAAGTTGCCAGTTCCACTGTTAAAGAAAATTTTTTCCATTTCAGATTCCAGTTCCCAGATGGTCTTGGTAACATCGGGCCTTGGAGAAAGTCTATTAGCAGAAACAGAGATGTGAACAGAAAGTCTGATGAGAATAACATTTCCATGTACTGTATTTGGAAAGACCATATATTGGTAGAAATGTATATTTTCACACATCTTGTGTAATGTCTACTGTGCTTCTGAATTTGTGAGTGTATGCACTAGGCAAAGATAGGAAAGCTGATATGCCCATGTGCAAGTACTAGGCTGTGTGACTGCAGATCCATATGCTATGTCTAGCTAAAGTCACCTTTTTTTTTCCTACTCTGGAACCAGACCCAAATTACTCAGTCCTTGTCATTTGCTTTTGATGGTTCAGTTGCTGTATTTTTATACTTCACCATACTTGACTGATCTTTGGGAGAAGCTGCATTTATTCAGATGTATATATTTATGTACAAGAGATACTCTTTTTATTGCTTGTATTTATGCTTGGGTAAAATTTTATAAAATTCACAAACATGGCAGAGTTTTGGTTGCAAGATCCACATATGGATGGAAATGTTAGAAGGGATGAGATGTACACTGAAAATAATAACAGTTCACCTAAGCATGGCATTAGTAAAACACTTTGGCCGCTTGACTCCATGTATCTTACTGCCTTATGAAAAGCTAGAATCTCCATAGAGTTATGCTGTAGGAACTTTTTCAGCCAAGGGCTGAACTGAATTTCACGTACTTTGCTGTGTAAAGAAACCTTTCTGAAGTCCATTTTGATATACTCTTTCTGTTTCACAAAATGACAATAGGACATTAAAGATAAAAACTACAGCAACCACATAATTGATCATGGAAATAACAACAACAATAAATTAAATGTGGGTGCCACCTGACTCTTAATGACTCTGGGTGGCTCTTCCAAGATACCAAATTGGGGCTGAACAAAACTCCGTATTTCATACACATCACTACCTTGTATTCCCATGTATAAGGCAGCCATCTTACACATTAAGTATTTCCCCCAGTCCCAGGTGTGTAATGAGCTTAAGGCTGTTACAAATACTCATACATCAGAGAAGAGCTCCAAATGGATCTTACTCTCAAATGAGTTTTCTTATACATGCATATTTGCCAATGTACAGTTGACATTATTGAAAGACCTACTTCCAGTAGCCTTCTGTTGGTAAGATAATCAAAGTGCTTTTCTTTTTCTGATAGTGGAGTCAAGGTGTCTCTCCCATTTGCTCCAGAGGCAGGGCAAGGAGATTCTGACAGTGCTTCCTGCACAAGAAATGGTTTCATCCCCAGTTCCAGCCCTCCATTGCCTCAGAGAGCCAGATACATAATCAGTACATCTTCAGCAGTTAGACTTTACTTTTTTCCTTCTTTGTTTTAGATCTTCGCCTTATATTATTTTTCCATAGCAGCTGAAACGAGGATGCATAGCCACCAAAAACAACAGCTTGTTGTCAACAAACACACTGGGCTGCTCGGATAGCTCAGGCCAAGCAAGACCAGCCCATAGCAGCGTGATATCCGCCCTCACCTCCCTGTCCTGCTCCAAGCAGGGGAACACAGTCAACTCACCAGCTGCTAAGACTGCAGGCCATCAACACAAGCCTCTCACAACCTCCAGGGAGTTCATCCTCACTCCGCATGTATCACAAGCATCACAGGGAACAGAAACTGGCAATGTCAGATGCCTAATCCTCCCTGCCCTCCAGATGGAACAGCATATCCCCCTCCCTGAAGGCCATGTGTCAGAGATCCCTGGAATCAAGCAGAAATTCACCAGTTGGGCAGAGACTTGCTAGACTGAGCCCTCCTAATCGCCCATGGAAGTGGAGAAAGATAGGAAATTGATCATGGTGATTCACAGCCAGGTTAGCCTGCAGAAGAGGACAGAGACAAGAACTAGACTGACTTTGCAGGGGGAAGAGAAATGGCACCATGTGAAGTCACCCTGACCTCTCCCCATGGCAGATACACAATTGGTTGAAGAGGAAGAGGCAGTTCTTCTTAGAACAGAGGACCACCATTTATGTATCAGATCTATCAGACTTTTCCAAAAAGCAGGTTTTTCACAACTGCCAAGGAGGTCTGTAAGTCCCTAGACTACAAGAATCAGAACTGTTTGCTCCTATGGATCCCCTGTTGGATCTGCTGGAATCAAGTGTTTGCAGTACCAACCACTTTCTTTTGCTTCCCATTCCCTGAAATATATAATACTGCAAAGTCCTTAAGACAGAATGGGGAGTTCCAGAGATGACAAGGTGGAGCACCTTTCCTTAGCCTATGGGCTCTATAACTTCCCAAAGGCATTCCTGGACCTTCTTAAGACCACTGGCTGATGTTCCCATGGCACTTCTGGTCTTGGAAGCTAAAGTGTATAGAGACGGGGAAGATGCCCTCAAAATATCCAGAGGACACGAGAATGAAGATTCTGTAACATAGAACCCATGAGTTACAGCCTTAGTCATAAGAGGCTCCCTTGTCTAGTCCATTTTCCCTAGAATTTTGATCCTATGGCCAAGAGGAATGCATGAACAAACTAGCCAACCTTGCTGTCTTTTGTGGCAGACATTAACCTAAATTGCTCAGTTCTCAGCCAAAGACATGGCTTCTAGTATGGCCACTAAGTGACAACTATAGATAAAGAACTGGAATGCAGAGAAATAAAATCAGTCCTCATATTGGGAGTGTCCAAAGATGGTAAGCTGTTTAGAAAGCCTATAGCTAATGTCCGGAGACAAAAAAGAAACTCCTAACCAACAAACTAACAAACCCCTAACCCTATCCCTAACCAACAAAAAATACAAAGGCAAAGGAACCAGGACATTAAGACTACATCTCCCATTCCTGCTGTCCCTCCCATACCCAAAGCAGATACTCGGAACACAAGGGATACACATTACTTGGGGGAGGTGCAGAAACTCCAAAATGAGTCATACCAGCCTCAGCTCCAACCAGGGGGAACATTGTCCCCCACCAGCAAAAGGGGGAAGTAAGCACCAACAACTGCACTGCCACCACATAGGTGGAGTCTAACAGAATTTGCCTTCCTGTGGGCCCTAAAGACCTTATAACTGGATTCATCACAGAATTCACCAGGCCCTCCCAAGGTTACTACACCCCATCCCTGAGGTCATGCAGTGATTAAATGCAGTCTGGTCCTGAAAGCCATAAATCATTGTCTAAGCATATAGGTAATCTAGGGGTGTATGAGAAATCCTCTGACTCCTATTCCACTTTATCCATGGTTCCCAAGAACAAAGAATGCCATGCCACCCTGAACCAGAAGTGAATGAATCACAAGTTCCAAACAGAAACCCAGTCATCATGGAGCACCTCCACTGATCTCCTGGTTATCTTTCTACACAACCCAATCTTCCCATCCCACAGGAAGTTCCTGAGATTTGAAAACCAAGGCACTCGCTGCTTGTTCAAAATGCTTCCTTTGGGCCTGTCATTGACTCACAGAGTATCTATGAAGGTGGTGGTGACTGTCATAGCATGCTTCACATACTTTCCATACCTAGAGAATATGCTAATCCAATCCTTAGGTCAATTAGGAAAAAAAGTTATCTGGATCATGATGCAGATCCTTGAGGACCTGGTCTTTTTAATGAACAAAAAGTATCTGTCAATCAGCACACAACCTACAGCACTTGGGCACAATTTTGGACACCAAAAAAGCCCTGATATCCTTGCCAAAGCAGACTCCCCTCCTCCCTTTTTCACTAATCCTCAGGCTCCTAAGACTAGTGCAAGAGCAGAGAGTAGAGCTAATACCAACAGTTCCCTGTTTGCCCAAGAGGCCTAATACTTGGATTTAGTTAATGTATGGCCATCCTGATCATGAAGCTTCCCACTACCACAAAACCTGCTGAGTCAATAGGAATTTAACCCTGCTGGCTTCAGCTGTTACAACCACACACCTGGAAATTGAAGGGGGTCATCTTGCCAGCCTAGGATACAGCAGCAAAACTATACCAAGCATTGTACCATGCCAAAGAGACCAAATCACTCACATGTAAAAATTCACATGGTGAGCCTTCTGCAGATAGGCCAAAAGGAAGGGAACTTCACTGATACCATCCTCCACTCCTGTATAGTCTTCCTATACAGAGTTTTCAGCCAAGGAATTCTGCATCATCCAGCCAGAGGCCATTGCTGTGCACTTAGGTCCAACATTTATGTGAAAGGCCAATTCAGTCTTCCACCAGGCCTTCCTATTTTCTACTCCAGCCCAAAATATAATTAGAAAGGAGTGGCACAAATGATAGGTCAGATGGACTATCAAGATCTACTGTACATGAAAATAACAGAATTTATAATCTCTAAGAGTTTCTTATTAGTCTTTCAATAGCTGCACCAACCAAGATCTCCAGGTGGATGAAAGCTGGCTTTCAGACTAGCCTACAAGGCTCACAATAAGCCTATCTTAATAGGAATTCAGGGCCACTTCACCAAAAGTACAGCAGTCTCAGCTTCCTTCAAAACTATGGGTCCCTTGAGACACATCTGTAGAGCTGCCACAGAGTTCTCTGTGTCCTCCTTTATAAAACACTGTAAGCATAACTCTTACACAGATTGGGTGAAGCATTCTTTAGCAGAACACTACAGAAAGTAGTTTCTAGCAAGGGCTAGAAGCTGTCCAGATGTAAAATCCCACTCTCAGGAACAGCTCTGGTATGTCACACTATAAAATGCCCAGCTCTGCTGAAGACAACCAGTACATTTGACTTACATGAAGCTCTTTTTTCTACAGCAGAGACAGGGCATCCAGCCCACCTAGGCATTGATAGATAGATAGATAGATAGATAGATAGATAGATAGATAGATAGATAGATAGATA